AATTCTATTCCTGATAACCAAACAATCGTACGTTTGGTTTCTTCACTATCGTCCTTCAAAAGTTTTTTATATAGACATTTTATGTCCTGTAATTTTCGATACATAAGTGTTCCTATTTGTATTTTATTTTTAAGTTGTCATAATTTTACTTTTCTCACACTTTGTACACTAATAAAATTTGCACTTTTTAAATGTCTGTTTTCCTCATTTACGCATGCGTAAAACAGATTACTTAGTAGCAATAAGGCCGCCCGATACAATACATATAACATTGATTGATTTACGGGGGTCCCGGAAGGGCTATCAAGTCATGCGTAACAATAGTCCACGTGCGATAACGGTTAGATACCATGACGAAGTTATATTAAGTATTGTTAATCTGCATGTAAATACTCTCTTAGTAACGGTTAATGAAAATCTTGTTTCTATATTTGTACGAATAACTGTATGCTGCTGACAGGGCAGATGTTAAATTTACTTTTTATCATTTTAAGTGTCTTGTTATTTAGTACAAGATACGAGAACAAGACCCAGTTCCCAGGTAATCGATATGTAACAAATGCTTATACTTTTTAAATATTAAGGTAGATTGAACTTTTTATTGATGTATGTATAGTTTATTTATTCAAAACACCTTTTTAAATTAACATTATAAGATTGTGTTGATATTAAAAACATACTATAAGTAGTATGGGAGTCTTTGTACAATACACAATGTATCTATTAATAAAATATACAGTAGGTATTTACAATTTTCTTAAATAAAAATAATAACTAACTTTAAAATATATTATTAAAAGGAGTCCCTTTAGGCAATGTTCCGAAGATACTGGCAGCTTTCCCCCTCTGAATAGCTTGAATAATTCTTTGTCCTAGGTAGCTGCCAGCTCTTCGGACAATGAAACACTACGAAACATACTTATAATCTGGTTGAACAATTATATAGTTAAAAAAATAGTATTTGTACGAATGGAACAGAACGCAAACGAGCAGGCGGGTTACTTAAAGTTAAGTATTTCCGCCGACCATGGGCACCCGCAACACCTAAGTCGTTACAGTTCGGAAATACCTGCAATGGCAGCTGGTTCCAAAAAGTACTGTTCAGAGTGTCTTAAATATCTGATTATCTTAAAGAAAATTTATATGTATTTATTATTTTTTAAGAAATACCGACATAAATCTCGCCTGTGATATATAAGTATTAAATTTGTCAATAAATAATTCTTTAAAAAAATACTAGTTTCATTTTCCCACGTTCGTTGAATCTTGTAAGTTAATAGGTCGACAAACGGTAAGTTTTGGTCGTTAAACTTGTAGAATATGTAATACTAGTTAAGACATTTAGAGCTGATTATAAATACGAAAGTGAGTTTTGATACGATTCCATAGATAAACAACTGTACGGATGACTTGTATAAATAGGTTTTATTCTGCGCAGTAGGGTTTTAGTAGCGAATAAAACAATGCATATAACAATTTCGTCTTAGATTACGATTTATCACTTTTTTACTTCGCTGGCGCGCTTCTGTCACTACCTAGATTTTTACCATAGACTATGATAACTTGCTGAGCTATTGCCCTTTTGTTTTCATGAAATAGCCTAACATTTTATGAAATGATCCTACTGAACAGATTTTATTTAAAGAAAAAGGTAATACGAATACTGATGATGCGTCGGATAGGTCTGGATTCTGAAGGCGCCTAGCCAACGTATTAGGATGTTCTCAGAATTCTAATCATAAAATAATGTTTATGTGTTAGATAAAAATGCAAAATATAACACAATCAACGATTATCATGTACGTTTGTTCGTGCCTAAATATAGCACAATAAGCTGTTCATATATGTCACTGTGAATGGACTGAATAACTGATATCTTGGAATTACATTTAAATGAAAGATTGGTGATTTTACAAAATAATGCGTTTGCTAGAAAGAAAGTTTTATTGGGTGGATAGAATTTTTTTAAATAGTAAAGTTTCGTAAGACATAAAGTTTTACTAAACTATGTTAGGTAAATAAAAACAGATTATTTTACTGCTTAATGTTTAATGCAGAACTTCTAATTGTCCATCATTTTGCCCATCTTCATTAATATGAAGAAGATACAACAACATAAATATGACATACACAGATACTTTAATCTAATCCCGAAATTACGCGAATAGGTACCAGATGTGGATGGTCACAAACCTTCTGCTGACATCGCCATAACGTCCTAATTCCCCAAAATAATGGAAACCATTCTTAAAGGCCAGCTCCTGGCGTTTTCGCTGTAGTCGTAACCGTCGTAGTTTCTTGTATGCATTATTCGGGAGGGGCTAGCGGTTAGGTTGGCTATAGCCAAAGCCTTTATCCGGGTGTTGCGTAAAGCTATAGCCAATGGGCTCCCCGAGCAATTATGTAACTGAATCTCCAGATTTCTGGATGTTTGGATCATCAAGGTCGTCATTGACGGAGCATGTTCCAACTTCAAACCCGTGAACGCATGTCATTGTCCTACCCCTATCTTTTGTCCTCTGCATATCTATGACATGTTGCAACTTTTATTGCTGTGCGGGGATGATAGCGCTAGGGACACTCATTACACTAGCCGTAGCCAGGTATTTTGTAGGGCAGTTATCGATTAGCATGGGTGCCAACTGGTGTCTAAAGTAGAATCTCCGTCTGCTACGTGGATTGGGACTGTCTTAATTTAACGCATCGGAATACTGGGCGTTGACATATCGAACGACGTTCAGTTTCGCGGTAATTTGGAGGGAACTGTATAAAGTGCATTTCGGCCCCACATGGAGGACTGTTCTCACCTCTGGGCGGGAGCTTCCCAGTACCAGATCCTTCCACTTGGCCGTAATCAACGAAGAGCGATTCGAATCGACAACGACCAATCGCGCAGCCTGGGTGTTGCGTAGAAGTGTGGAATCTCCCTGCATTTTATACCGCATCTACCAGTTGTTGTTCAGATTGATACCTGCAGCTGAGGTTTATCATCTAACGTCGGGGTAGAATACGAAATACCACACGTAACACCTCGACATCCGTCGTTTCACAACTAAGCGTCGTTTAAGGCAGTTTTTGGAACCAGACACCCACTGGTTCCAAAAGGTATTTCCGAAATCGATTTAGGAGTTTGGTACTTTAAAGAAAAGAGCGTATCTATCTTATCCTACTTCAATTAACATTGCTTTATTAAAAACATCTTAGTTCTACTGTTGCTCGGGTAGCACCCCGTATTGGAAAAGGCCTCCACAAAAGAAGCCGCTTTGTTTCGGTCTTGTAAGTTATTTGGCTTATAATTAGATTTAAAACGTAATAATATGTAGGTAATGTCCAGGTAAGAACAACTTTATTTGCTGTACTTCTAATAGTGTTTCTGCACTTGGGTACAGGACAATATTTGTATGTTTTTTTAGCTTTTGCATTATCTGCATGGCAAGTAAAATGGAAAATGTGTATGAAACAACTGATATGCTTCAGGCGACGAAAGCTTTGCTGTCCGCGCAAAATGTCTGCGTTTCAGCGGCTCAAATTTATTCAATGTTATAATGATTTAAATATTTATTTAAAAAATATGAATAAAGTATGTGCGTATTCCCTATTAAATATTTGCATTAAAAAAAGGGATTGAGTTAGAGAACACTACCCTCGGAAAAAGAAGGCATCATTTATTTGAATGTACAAATCATACGATATGTAAAGGTAAACATAACTAAACATGATTAAATCAATCAAATTAAGTTTATATGTTAGGTATTCATTTAGTTACTTTCATTCATTTAGGTTCTGTAATCAAAGGTGTAGAATTGACGAAAGAACTGGCAAGAAACTCACAGTGCATCATTTTAATCGCCAAATATTTTGTTTTACTAAATTATAGAAGCTTGCAGATAGCTGCAACTATTGTACCTTGCACATGGCATGAAATGCATAATAATAATAACAAAATAATGTTATCACACCGATTTGCAGACACGACATCTAACGCGTAGTTTTTGAACTTTAATATTTTATTAAGTTTCATAAGACAATTAAACTTTCATCTTTTGACTTTCGCGAATATGAACTTCGTCCACTCGTTTTATAAAAATACGTTGAACAAAAGATAAAAGTTAAGGAAATTTAATAATAAGTCTCTTTATTGATTAACATTTTATTAACAATGTATAAGCGGTGTAAAATACCAAACCAACACAAGAGAATAAATACCTAATGACACAAAACTAACCTCTAATTTTTTTTGTAAAGTTTCAAAATATCTAGTCCTACAATAAAACGACATTTCATTACATCAAGACCAAGCAAGGTCATTCCATAATAATTTAAAAAAGTACTCTAGCACGAAATTGGGCAAAACAAATAGTTGAGGTAATAAAAATATTAAGGATAAAATGTTGTATGGAAAACCTAAGCAGCGCCCTGTGGTCGTATTTGGAACTAAAGGGAAGAATGAAAAGTATATTAGTATAATAAACTATTCCAAATGTAATAAATTCCATGCGTGAGCTTTCTAAAACTGGCGTTATGGTAATGACATATACATACTTCACAAAACTTTTGTAAAGTTCATGCTAAAGGACAATGTGGAGTGGAAATAGTGTTACTATTATAGTGGACTTCGCCACTTTTTGGTGAGAGCTCATTAGAACCTAAGGGAAAGATTCAGATCCACATTCTTATTCGTATCTCAAGTCACAATCTCGTCTTGAGCACTATCAAATATATCAAACTTCATACAAAAATGGAATACCTACCCGAAAATAGATTTAAGTTTGATTGACGTTCTAATACGGGCCTCAGAGTCGAAACTGTCTTCCACGTGTCATCTACTTGTAAGGTCTTGAACCTTGTGTTTTTAAAAAAAGCGCCTTGGCCTTATGGGGATTTTTTTCTAAACCGCTTAACTACCTAACATTTTAATTTGCATAAACAAGCATGTGGTTTAAATGGAATGCAACTTTTTTATATTTAATGTCTTGAATGGTAAATTTTTAATTCTAATGCTATCTATGACTAATACTCCAATTCTGTGTCAAACTAACAATATCAGGTATATTTATGTTAACATATCGTCGCGTAGTTCTCATACGTCCACTCGCTACGCTGTCAAACACCCATTTAGAGTTAATTTCCCCCTCCTCCTGGCCTATTGTGACGTCACAGTCACCATCTTGGATAATTGCCCCGCATAAGATCAAAAGTTCAGTTATAGCGGGTTTATGAGGGGCATTACTTTGTATTTTCACTTTGAGGTTGTTAAAAATATCGTACGCGTATTCCGAACGCATACGGCCGAGAGCTGCGCGTTCCACTCGTGCTTTCTGAAACCATATAAAATATATATCATTTTAATTGGAAGTTAATCTTTTACACCACGCTGATTTCCTTAATCCAAAAAAAACAATCTCAATGGATTTTTGCTGCAACGATACTAGCTTTAGGTTGAAAATTTTCAGTGAAACAATTCTGGGACTTATCAATTGTGTCCATATAAATAAAAATGTTTTACCGTAGAAATCTTCAGTAAATGCGGCACTTCATACCCATAGTGGGTCAACCATTGCCCCTCCTTAGCACTGTCAATTGCCCACTGGGTACCCAATACCCGACACCCTCTAATCGCTCCAAGTAAAGCGTTAACTGTCCTAGGTTTGGTACACTCCTGATTTATGTGACTTCTGTTTTGTTCCTGACATGAGCCAAATATAATGTGCGTCGTTTTGTATGTCACTTTGGATTTGATCTTACAATCTAATGACTTCAATGCTTTGAATACTTCGCTCCGTTCAGATTTAGACATTCCTGTTAATACCTGGAAATTAAAAAAAACTTATTTTTGCCACATCCATTCAAAAGCTTTCCCCTCACACTTTGAAATCAATGTTTCACTAAGACAAGTAATAGTAATTGTAATAGCAAGCATTAAAATAAATAAAAAACCATTAGCGATTTTTTTATTCTGCGTTTAAAAAAATATATTGAATTAACATATACAATAAACACTAAATCAGCTTAATAGCCCTCATAAAAGTTCTTAGTCACTTTCTATCAAATTATCTTTACGCTGTGATTTATTTATTTATTAAGAAAACTAAACAGATACATCACTATACATAAAACATAAAATAAATGTAAAACATAAAATAAATAGAAATACACAAAAAAAGTTTCACTAATAAAAAATACAATACAAAGCAAAACAAGACAAAACATGACAGCACAAAATTTAACACTAAACACTATAAAAAAAAACAAGGAAGACACAAAGCTTAAGACATTAAGAGTTTTAACTTATTCTTAAATGAAGCAGTAGAGGAGTGCGAAAAAGGGTCGATGTTAGTGACAGAATCCAAGGTGGAACACATCCTGTGAAGAGGCTCACGGAACCCAATGTTGGTTCTGGGAGTCGGAAGGTTAAAAGTTCTGTGCGAGCGCAGAGATCTGGCAGGAACATTAAATGGTATCAGTTCGAGAAGATGGGAACAAGTTATTTCATTTACACATATTTTTCTAATAGTGACACAGTCTGTCAAATTACGCCTGGTAGTTGGTACTCAAAGAAAGTAATTTATATTTTTTTTAAAGTTCCTTATATTTACACCTACCACCATTCATACGATAATTTAGAATACGTAAGAATTTCTTTTGTACAGCCTCCAGTTGTGAGACATATATAGAGTAGTGGGGATTCCAGATTGGACAGGCATACTCCAACTGGGACTGCACAAGCGCCTTATAGAGGTGAATGTACGTGGTTTTTTCTTTAAAAGGTCTGGTGACACGCGTTATGAAACCTAACATACGGTAGGCTTTATCAATAATTGAGCCTATGTGCTTATCAAGGATTAATTTGGAGTCAAGAAGGACATCAAGATCCCTTACAGAGCACACACGTTCAAGGGCATGGTTTCCAAGGGTGAAGTTGGCCGTGATTGCGTTATGTGTTTTCCTTGTAAACACGATATGCTGACACTTACTATATTTTAAGAATAATTTGTTTATCTTGCAGTAGTCATCTAGCCTATCGAGATCTTCCTGAATAAGCTCCACGTCGGAAAGTGTATCTACTTAGTGTACTACCTTTCTATATAACTTTAAATCGTCTGCATACACCAAGTAATTGCAGTGTAAAAAACATTTAGATATGTCATTAATAAATAAGGAAAACAACAACGGCCCAAGGATTGAGCCCTGGGGGACGCCGGATGTCACTATGTGATGTGATGGAAGGAGATAGATGAGTTTCATCTAACGGTGCAATTAAATTGATTTATCTTGTTTTGATATGTAGTGACTGGTGAGTGAGAAACATCAATTTATGTAAATTCTATAAATTTAAGTCAATATAAAAATACATGTGTGTGTACTTATGTACACACGTTAGAAGTTATACTTCTTTGGCATAAAAAATAAAAATCTTTTATTTTTTTTATCTTAACAATAGAAAAAGGGTATTTAATACATTGATAGTTTTATTATAACGCATTATCTAGTTAAATAAAGTTTAAATATCACAAGAAAAACATTTCTACATAATTAAAGAAATGGACATTTTTGATTTTAAAATGTTGACTAACTTCAGGGTGTCGGTTTTTTGTGACGATGTGCGCGCGCCTCGTAAGAATTTACTATCGTTACTTTTCTCTAACGCGCCAAAAGAAGTATAACTTCAAAAGTATTGCTAAACTGTATAAACCAAAGACAATCCAGAGGTTCTGCCATATATCTAAAAAAAATCAAGATAGTTTCCGAATATGGGCCTTTACTTACAATTCTTGGTACAATTTTCTTGCGCTGTGTTCCTACAATTGGTCCATTTCTTTGTATCTTTTTTATTGGTGTTTTTATTAATTTTCTGGCAATTCTCTCGGCTTGTATAAACTCCAGTCTCTGTCGCCGTGTTAAATGTTTTTTTGGTTGAACTGGAGTCGGCGTTTCCCTTTCATCTGAAAAATAAGTAAACGTAACAATTATTAATTCATAAAATACGTAAGATAAAATTGTGTTTTTTTATTATTAACATTATAAAGTTAGGAACATTATAAATTATCGTAAATATCGATGTTTATTTCCAGTTTCGATTTTGACGCTAAGGGAGCGTTCAAGTATTACGTCACGCAATTTTTGGAGATTATTGACCCCCCATGTAACGCGTCGTAACGTTTTTCTGTACCCAAGTATAGAAAAACGTTTCGTGACCACCTAGTGACTCTTTATACCTAAAAGTTACCATTATGTGGTGTAAAGTACTGGAAAGTCGAAAATAAATATAATCTCTATAATTAGATACTGGGTTAGACTTCAGAAGAAAAATAATCTTGGCCCAAAAATCTATAAAGCAGATGCATTAAAAAACCATTTTTTTTAAATTAGAATTGGATTGAATTGGCCCAATGGCGGTTTTATTTTTTGAGGCTTATTTACCATTTAAATCGGCGATAACATCTTCTTTATATGTGAACAGCTTTCGTCTAGTCTTAGTCGGGCGTAATGGGGTCTGAGGTAGACCGCGAGGCCTTGTGTTTACCCGATCTGTTGAAACAATAATACCGTCAAAGCAAAATACTGAAAAGTTTTTAAAAATGTGCGTTGTAAAATACACTTTAAGTCACTACGCGTAAGGTTCAAATAGTACGAGAGGCTCTCGTACTATTCTATCTGCAGGATTAGTGCATTCATCGGTTATTTGCTAAAAAACAAATTTTTATATATATTTTATTAGGAGAATATATGTACCAAGCTGCCTATCAAATTTGGCCGCTAGTTTATTTATTTGATTAATGGGAAAAACTTTCGTTCACTTGTTTTTTAAATAAAATATCGTCTACAACTTGGCAATTTACATAAAGATTTTTAAAAATCTCGGTTGCCGTTGCGCACCTGGCCACACCTCTTCGCAGCCAGGTGTAAACAGGAATGATTTCGATACATTTATCAATTATATATCAAATTGAAGGTAATTTTTTTCTGTATTCGACGTACACTGTAAGCCAATACTGCTTACCCAATATAAAACTAATACATTTCCCTGAGTTTTGCTTGACCATTCACAAACACTATAGTCTCACACACTGTACTTGATATAATATGATATCAACAACAGCTTTTCAAATATCTATAATTGACTGTATTTTCATATTGACTTGCCTATGTGGTAAAATGATGTAGTAACTATTAGAATATAAAAATTGAATTAATTATACAGGTAAAGGAACGAAAACCAAATGTTTACATATAAATATTTTTTTATTTTTATTATGTAGCAAATGGGCAGGAGGTTCATCTGATGTTAAGTGATACCACCGCCCATAGACACTTAATTGCCAGAGGGCTCGCAAATGCATTGCCGGCCTTAGTTTGTCCATACCATGTTGACTTATAATCTAATGAAAATAAATGAAAAAAGGTTACTAACCGTATTTCCATTTTTAAATTTCAATAAAATGTAACCACAAGATTTTCTTACTTGGGGAATTTTTATTAGGTGAATCGTTGGAATTGGTTGACTGGTTCAATGTTTTGTCATTCGACTGGTTGTGCGATTCATCTGTAGACTTGTGTGATTTTTTGTCGGAGCTGTCTTCTTCACTAGAGATGCGAAGTCTAGGAGCATTTTCTTCATCACTTTCTCTGCTGTCAGAGAGGAAATCAATAAGTGGAATGTTTTCGTGTTCTGCTTTTTTCTGAAAAGTATTGTTAAAAAAGTTTTGCTTAATCGTAATGAAGATTAATAATGGATAATTTCTATTTGATTCTAAACCCTGTAATTGGGCATTTGGTGGCCTAGTGGAACTTCTTGTTGATAAGATCTCAATGAAAAGAAATTTACCAGTAAAATACGTAATGTCGCTGGTGAAGGTAAATCGGAGGGTCTGCTTGGTGCAGGGAATATCCTCTCTGGCTGTCTTTTTGCTGCTGACGCACATGCTTCTACCCATAAAGGTGAAACTAGGTGACAGGCGAGTGCCCGTGCCTTAGAACGTATTTTACGACAGCCACCTGGAAAATATGACATTACACACATTAGGAGAATTACTAGCCAAAGACTGCTAAGTGTGTGTGTGAAGTATAATATAATTTGATAAACTTTTACAAGTAGTTATTTACCAAACATTAAACAAAACTGTAAAATTAAAAAAAATATTCATATTGAATTTAGATAAAAGAAATCGATTGACTTACAAGCAAGCTATCAAATGTTCTAGCTGTTCTCAGTAACCATTTTTTAATATTGAAATTTGGAGAGAATAATAAAGAAGTCAATGAGTGATCAGATATGTATGTGATATAAATAAACAACATCTTAAGTGTTGAATTTTAATAACATGTAATTTTGTGTGTTTGGTTTCGATGAGTATTACACATTCAAATAAAACAAAATGGTTTATCTTTTCAATCTTGTAATGTAAAATATTTTTTCTTTAATAAACATAAAATCTAAAATTTTAAAGAGTATTAAGTACCAGGCACAAAATATCTTCCTTATTTCATAAGCAAAATATAAAAACTAAATTTTTACTGTTCTAACCATGTGTCCATATTAAATGTGTAACTAGGGGACTCCATGCAGGAACAACACTTGCTCCAAGTGCCATCAGTGCTGCCCGAAGTCCCAAGGCACGAGACTCCGCCCCAACATCCACAAGTGCTACCACTCCTCTGAGAACTTCACATACTCCCACTTGTTCAGGCTTAAACATAGTTTATACATAATTTGTTAATATTCACAACTTCAACTAGTGTATCAGTATAATTTATATCAGTAAGATAACCTATGTATAGACTAGATAGTAAGATATACACTATAATACATATTATATTCTTTGTACATTATTTACCAGCTAGGGCCTTAGTCAAGATGCCTTTCCAGTAGTGTATGTAGAACGCCAAAAACTAAATTTGTATGAAAACTTTTCAACACGAAATGTCATTTCCATACAAATTAAGTTTTCGACTTTCTACATACACTACTGTTAAGGCATCTTGACTAAGGCCCCTAGTAATTTATGTAGCATAGGATATAACTATAACATATTAAATATGTAGGGTATATACAACTCCTTTAATGGATTTAAAATATTTTACAGTAGTTAATGAGAAACAAACATGTTAGGTCAGGTAAATAATGCAATAAAGTGATTTTTAAATCCATTAAAGAGTTTTTCATAAGTATACTTGTTTAAGCAAAAGACAATATAGAGTCCTGTGTATAATATAAACATGCTTACTTGTTTAATTTCTTTGGATTGTGTTTTATATGGTTTAGTATTGCATTGTTTCTTTTTCAACACATTTATATTTTCTTGCTTGTCAGTAACAATTCCTTTTAGCACAGACCATTCTTCTTTGAGTCTCTTTCTTTCAGCAATTGCTGAGCGTCTCTGTAACAGAGGTACAGGAGAAAATAAAATAAATTTATGAATATTAGATCCTTATTACAAAGTATATAGTTTCTGAAATAATAAGAAAAGTCCAAAATTAATTCATTATAACAATGTCGATTATAATAAACTTTAATAGTCTGTTTTACTTATATTTGCCTAAAGGGATCCTTTTAATGATATTTAGTTTATAGTTTCGTTATTTATTTCAAGTTTTTAATTGTTTTTTATAAGTTTAATTTTATTAATATTGTTACCATTACACTATATTCCATATTGTATGACATTAATATATTTAAAAGTTGTTTGAAAGGTCCAATATGATTTTGAAACTGTAGGTTTAAGTTTAAGGTGTAAGTTTGTTTAAAAGTGGAAAATTTATAATCATACTAACTAATGGATTGAAAATTAACTTACTAGGCCAGCAGCACTCCTGTTATTTTCTTTATTCATATTGGTAGGTGTAAAATATCAAAATAGAAAAAATTAAAAGCTAAACAAACATTGAACATTTTGTTTTTGAACAAGTTCAACCAAGTCTTAAACACAGACTACAGAGCAACTCAAGCAAGAATTTAACACAGGGTATAATTATGTCCTACAGACTACAGTTTTAGGAATAACTTAGACATATTGACATTTGACATATCATCATCGGGTGTAACCGTAGGACTACAATAGGAAAGTATTTCTTCTCGATGCCCTAATGGGGCCCATTTAATGCGACACATATAACGAAAACTTCTTAAATATGAATTCATTATATTATTTATTCCCTTAGCTCAACGATCTGAATCCAGTCATGTTCTGCGAGGGACTGGATATTAACAACTGGCAGCACCTAAACTGTTACATATACATACCGAATACAAGTAAGCTTATAAGTTGTTTAAGTCAGGGGGGATCAACTTTGTATGGGAGAAATAAAATACCTATTTGGGCAGTTATTGCCACTGTCAAGATATAAACATTCATGCTTAAATAAATTTTATAATAGCAACATTGTCCTAGAACCTAGAAAACCAACATGGCGATTTTACATCAAGGTTGGTGTTGTTGTGGCCCGAATGTTTGTTTTTCCATGCTATTTCGTCATTTACCCAAACTACGAACGTCGAGTTGAGTTTTAATTCCTCCGTTTATGTTTTGTGCCCGTTTTGAGATAGTGACTCTAGTGCTTCACAGTGAATACGAGATAGTGACTCTTGAAATCTGTGAAAATGTCGGCCGCTAAAGAAAACCGAAAAGAAGACAGTCGCAGGTGTTCGAAGTGTGGCAAATCCACGGCAAAGGAAAACGTTTCTTTGTTTCGTTTTCCAAATCCCGGAGTTCGGAATCTTTTGCGGTACGTACTAAACTAATTAACTTCTTAGTTAACATCACATCAAATCGATTGACAATATTTCAACCTATACGTCAACGTTGGAACTTTTTTGCATTTCCCAAGAAACTAGAAAGCAGTCAACAACGTTTGGTCTTTGTTACAACTGTCAAATTGTCGTGGTTAAAATACAATGTAGTTCAAGTTCTAGTCGATGGAACCTACGCCTTGAATTTGACAAGAATAATTACGTGCTTCTTACTCCTTACCTTTGATATCTACTACATTTATGCCCGTTTATTTTCAGCTGCACCCTGTGGGCAAAATACCTTTTTCCCTCGGATGAACAGCACACTTCAATAGCTTTTCAAAAAAAGCTGTATGCTGAGCACAGGATGCTGTGCCAAAATCACTTCCACGAAGGTGATTTTACAGATGGCACTAAAAAATCATTGCTAAGAACTGCAGTTCCGCATGAGGTAAGTTATGAACTTTACTCACCATTGTATTTAATTTAACCAAAATTTGTTATAATTTAAACATAGTAATAGTTTGAAGTATGTAGGCCTACCTACATAAACCTAAAAACATTACGATAGTAAATGAGGACTGTGACTTGATTTATTCTTGTAATTACAGATTGGACCTGTATTCATTCCTGCGGTTACATTGCCCGATAATCTGCAGCCAGGCCCTTCACACATACCTCAAGAACCTCAAGCAGGGCCATCAAAAAGAATCCCTTTGAGGGAGATTGGAAATTTCCAATCAACAACGGATGTTCTTGAATCTGAGAAAATTGACAAAGAGAGCAAGACTTACAAAAAATGCTTGAAATATATGCACAGTGTTTGCCAACTGCGTAATCGAATAAAGAACATGAAACTCAAACTGCAATTAAATGCCCTCACAGAAAGCAACTCCTTACGAAAACTTTCAGAGAAAATCTCACCAACATTCGCTCTTTTGCTCCAAGGGCAATTAAGAAATTATAATAAAAAAATCACTGGAAGGAGATGGACAAAGGAGGAAAAAATTGTAGCCTTGAGGCTATTTAAAAGGTCACCAACTTGTTACCGCTTGTTGAGGAGATTATTTTATTTACCATCTCCAGGCACCCTAAAGGCTTTGCTGAACAGAGTGCCTTTTGCTATAGGTATTACCGAGCCAGTACTGGAAGTACTCAAACAATTTTTAAAAACACAGCAGCGATCGGACAATAATTATATTTTAATGTTCGATGAAATATCATTAAAGAAACATTTTGATTATAACCCAAAGGAAGATGTCATTGATGGATACCAAGATCATGGGGCACAAGGAAGGTCCCCCAATGTGGCATCCCATGCCCTAGTTTTTATGGTTGCTGGCATAAGGAAAACTGTAAAACAACCGATTGCACATTTCTTCTCAAGTGGCTTTTCAACAGCGGACAGGCTTGCAGTGCTTTTGAAAGAGGTATTAACTTAAAAAAAATTTTTTGTTACTATTCACCTTTAGAATGCCTTAAACTAATATAAAACAATATCTTTTGTTTCAGATCTTACAGCAATGTTTTGCATCAGGTATTAACATATCTGCCACTGTCTGTGACATGGATGGTGTAAATAGACGAGCACTGTCAATCTTGGGTGCAACTGTGGAGCGCCCATACATAACAGTGCATAACAAAGAGATTGTGACATTATTTGACACACCACATCTTGTCAAATGCTTTAGAAATCTTTTTTTAAAATATGACATTGAGTGCACTACTAACATTTCATCTGAAGACAAGAAAGGAAAAGGTATGTTCTTGTGACTGTTTAAACAAAAATATGATAAATTTTGTAACACTTAGGGCCTATTGCACGACCTGCTAAAAGCATTTAATTTTAAGATAATTCAAATTTTTCTATTAAAAATTAAAAGGCTCTTAAGCTGGTGGTGCACTTAACACTTCCCTCTAGCATCCCTTTTAGTTTTACAATATTTTATTTACGCTTATCATCCAAGTACTTGCCTCTATTAAAAACTACTTTTTGTTAATTTACAGGTGTGGCCAAATGGTCTCACATAAAAGATTTCTTTGAAATCGACAACAAAAACCAAATTTTGTGTTCGCTCCTGCTTTGACAAAGGATCACCTAAACCCAAATGCAAAACAAAAAATGCGCGTCAAACTAGCTGCACAAGTTTTGAGCCACACAGTGGCAGCAGGACTTTATGCAAAGATAGCTGATGGTATGTAACAGTGTAGAAGAAATGTGTCATAAGATAGCTCATTAGTTCTATTACATTTTTTATTTCGTATTTCCAGGCGCGCTCAGTACAGAAGCTGCTGTTACTGCAAATGTGATATCACATATCGACAAGCTTTTGACGCGCTGAATAGCGACTCAGCAGACTTGCGGCGTGGAAAAATTTTCTCCACAAACATGACAGCGAAAAGCCCACACCACAAATTATTTCAGAATATGAAATATTTTTTTCAAAACAATGAAATTTATGGGGTCTTTGCGAACACCCCCATCACAGGAAGGTTGGATTTGGACCATTAATGGCGTCGAGCGGCTGTTTAAGCAATTCGCTAATGAGGGTATAAAGAGCCTGGCCACAAGACGGTTACAGCAAGATCCATTAGAAAATTTTTTTGGCTGCATAAGGGGCAACTGTGGCTCAAATTCCAACCCAACTGTGGGCCAGTTTGTGGCTGGCTTAAAAACATCAATTTTGAGCAGACTGGCACATATTGGGACCACAGGATGTAATTGTGAAACTGACAATAATGTCGTAATGAATAACTATGAGACATTATTGTCAGTTTCACAACCCAGGAATTGTGCAGACATATTGGCATCAGAGTGCAGTGCATTTGCATTGTCGTCTTCAGTAGAACCACAAAATATTGAAGAGGACAATGCAGAAATGCAAGCATGCGCATATGTCTGCGGATTTTTAATTAAAAAATATGCAGTGTCAACAATTGTGAGCCATGCAAGCATATTTTTGTATCCACAAATGTGGAAAAAGTCCACAAATTTGTAGACTATAAAGAATACAATGAGTTGAAAAAAGTTTGCACTATGCAAATAAATCTATTATATCATGTGTTGAAAAGTGTGCGACATTAATAAATTCATTTTTTAAAGAAAAAAGTCACAAACGTAATTTAAAAACAATTGCAAAGGAAATGGTGCTCCAAAATGTAAATTTTGATTACATAAAAAAATGCGAACAACATGGCACACAAAATATTCACCACATCATAGAAAGTGTTTTCTTTATATGTGTGAAAAGATTTTGTATACTAAAAAACAGATTGTTTGCAGATGAAGCATCAGCATCTGCGCTCAAACGCAAGATGAAGATAATTATGCATAAATAATAATTATTTATGCATAATTATCTTTATTGTTCCAAGTTTCCGTGTATATCCTGATGCTTCTCATTGTAAATACCGTTTCTTAAGTGTTTTCGTGGTACCGTTTTTTTTAAAGTGGTTTATGTAAATTATTCATTTGTAGAGAAGAAAACACTGAAACTTTTCATTTGAATTACCTAGGTAATTCGACCACGACTACGAACATTACAAAATTATGTTGATTTCGTGTCCAAATAATAATAAGGATCCATAAAAGTGAAATGAATAATAATTCAATGAGAAAACGTTTTTGTTTTATTTCAAGATCATTTGTTAAATATCTAGTGCTCTTTTGGATGCATAGGCCATTTCATTTGTAAGAAAACTCAAATGAATGAGTTTTCCCATTCATTTTAGTTTTCTTACAAATGAAATGGCCTATGCATCCGAAATTAATAAATTTCTGGGGAACCTGGACCTGCCGGCAATTCAAATTTTTGCCGCCAGATATTCAAATATTGCCGCCACATGTAGTTTTGGGTGGGTTGATAATAGGTGGCGATACATTCTCGTATCTTAGAATCCGTGTTCCTAGTCGTCGTTCTTCCTTTAGGTAATTGTGTTCTGTGGTTTAAGTTCCCGAGTATTACAATAGTATCTAATAAAAAACGATTAATTGAATACAACTACAAACATAATCAATATTTTTATTACTCTTTCAACCGCCTTAACTTTTACAACTTATTTCATAAATTACGATGTTGTCTGAACTTCAAAAAGACTTTTTAACGTTATTCCCTCTCTTAATGGTTCAATAGCCAAACCTAAATAGGGACTATAAACAGGCTGAGCATCAGATTCCTCCTTGTGTAGGGCTAACTGTGACGCTAAGTAAAGAGTTGGTCCCATTTCACCGCGCGGTTCTCCAATTTCTTCTAATTCCTCGATATCATCACTTGTCGGCATTGGATCCTAGAATCATCGACATTGTTATTACTGATAGAAAAACAATATTACGTTAAAAAATGATCAACTTTTACATCTTGATTCCAATTCGTTTCGACACCAAAAATAGGCTTTTCTGTGTACGCTTGATGCAACATTTGTAGTTCCGAAAGAAGAGAGCTTAGTCTTTCTTGTGGATCTGCGCGAAATCCAAGCACGTAACCTCCAGATGTAGGTCGGACATGAACTACCAAAGCATTGCCGAACTTTGAATCTCTGATGGAAATCTAAAACGAAATATAATTAATCTTAAAGTTTCAGTTACGTAGTAAATTAGATATTATCACTTATTTACACTTTAATGTCGTAACTAGAATTCCAAGCCCAAAACTTTTTATAGTGATTTTAACTTTTTATGTTTTCCTAAACGTTATAAATTAAATCATTGACGGTATCTAACGAAATATACATATTACTACACAGTAAGGCCCCCCCCCCGGGGCCCCCCCCCCCGCGTGTTTATACGAATTTTGGCTAGTTATTGCAAGGTAGGTACGTAACATCCGCACGCCTACCAATTTTTTTAGTATTATTTACTTCAGAAGTGTCGCGGGCGCACAGATTTTTATTCTTACCAGTATTTAGAATAATGGTAGAATCCTTCTTACTATCGATTCAATAAGATTATTCTTAATGTTTGAGTCACATTATAAGTAAAAATTTTATATAAATCTTACGCTTTCAATGGTGATATATGGTAATGAAACATTAAAAGCCTCATTAATGTCCGCATACCAAACGATTCTTACGTTACTGATAATCATTGTACCCAAATTTCCCGACTCACTGGATAGATTCCATAATCCTGTTTCTTTTAAACATATCTAAAAAATATTATAGGGTTAAATTATTTGAATAGTGTTGTTTTAATAATATAATTTTTTCTAAGCCATAAATAAAATCTGAATATTCTAGAAATTTTATCTGTGATATCTGCGATTATCTGTGATAAATTTCGTTCACATAATATCTTGAGTGGTATCTGGCAAAACATTAAACATTAAACAATCGACATTGTGTATTAGCACATTTTTTTTTGGATTGCAGATTATTAAAAAAAATAAAGTTTAAGAATTAATTACCTGTTCAAGTGGTAATACGTGTAGTTGTTTGTTCTGTAAAATAGCACCTCGCAGTCTTAGGTCACGATACAGTCTTGATCCAGCGTAGGCCCTAAGACATGAAATGTTTTTATCGGTTCAGTATTTTTGTTCATCTAAATTCATTTACACTCAATAGAACATCATAGATTTATGGACTCAATAAGAAACCAATCATACTTGCTAACCGTGCGCAGGAATTTCAAAAATTATGTATTTATTAGAAATGTACAAATTAATCCAAGGAATAAGCTTACTGATAGCCTAAAGAATTCAGAACAGAAGAAAATATACAGAGGTTAAAATTAAACTTAAGACGATGCGAATCGTTTGATTGTAATTGGTCAACAGCAACTTCAGACCATCAAACGTTGACACGTAAAATAATATTACTTTATTACGTCCATTTGTCCAATCACAATTAAAGAAATTTGACAATTCATCTTTTGTCTATGGAGTATGGGTTTACATTTTTAATTCACGATTTTGTCGACCTCTAACCCATGTTCCTTACAACCTGTCACATTATTTCGTAATAAATTTCAGATATAACTTACTTATACACTGCAGTAACTGTTGTGTAATGTCGTATACAGTTTGGCGAAAGGTTAGTAAAAACAAATTCGTATTTATTGTTTCTATACGCTGCTAAGCAGTAGAACGCTTGTGTAGAACCTCGTAAACCGGAGCTAATGGTTTTGCTGCTTGTCGAAATAACGCAGTTGTACCCGATCGCTGGAAAAAGTTTCACCTTTTTTAATTTTGTATCATACACAGATTATGGTTTTTTTTCACGTAAGAGATTTATTGCTAGAAAAAGTAGTTGAAGCTAAGATTAGCTTTAAAAACATAAATTATTGTTATATGGTAGGACAATGAATATTAATGCACATGAAATAGGTAATTGTTAATATATTTTTAAATTATTGTCATGAGCTGGGTTCGCCTGGCTTGTGCACCTCTTAAGCTCGAGTCGTGCCTTCGCATCATATGCACCAATGGACTTTTATTCGACGAAACATCGTAAAAAAGCAGCCTGATCTGAAAATCGACGGCGTGTGTCAGGAATAGAAGGCTGATCACCTACTTGTCTCTTAAGTAAATTTTTTTTTAATAATCGGTATTAAATCAACTGAAAGTGGGCTAGATATTTTTATTCATACAAATCTACCTCGATATTTTTTGTTTTCCGTAAACACCTACGCTGGCTGATATCGAAGGATTTTTATTGACATACTAGCTGACCGGACAAACGTTTGTTTTGCTATGAATGTATGTATATTATTTGTAGGAAACATTATTTTAGTTCAATAAAAATGACTATCTAATAATAAAAAATAGGGGTTGATTGTAGAGGGGTGAAAATTAGGGGTTGTATGTATTTTTGATACAACATACTGTATCATAAAAAAAAAAAAAAAAAAAAAAAAAAAAAAATTTTGGGGTGGACACCTTTATAACTTAGGGGTTTGAAAGATAGATAGTAGCCGATTCTCAGACTTACTGAATATGCGTAAAAAATTTAATAAGAATCGGTCGAGCTGTTTGGGAGGAGTATACGAAAGAACATTGTGACACGAGAATTTTATATTAAGAGATAGAAAGTAGTACGGTGGCTCGTTTTGTCAAATTATTACCGCTTTGATAAGTTCTTACATTTGTGTTTAGGCCTAGAGTAACTATATTTCTCCTATGTGAATAATTAATCTTGTAGTAGAAACAATTATTACATGACTCGTGAAATTAGTTAAATCCGTTCGCTATTCCTTAGGGTTAATCGTAAGAGCTGAGTAATAATTTACTAGCAATATCGAAAATTTCGCATGAAAGCTTAAGATTAATTATTGTCATGTGTACATTAACATATTATTTAGGATTTTTTGAGTCTGGCTTATTTAACGCAAAGCGCGTCACCCGTACGGAGTTCAATTCTCTACTAATTAAAATTATTATGAGTAGGAAAACAACAACTGGGTGACGGACCTTTACACTCTCTTTCACACATGAAGGTATTATTAAATATAATACGGAAGTCTTTTTACGATATTAGTTTGTTATAACTTTATGTGTTGAAAAGTAATTAAAGATATAAGCATCAAGTCAATGTATTTGTGATTAATATGATAATTAAAATAAACCTTAATTTATCTTATATATATATAGGAGAACTATTAATTCTAGCTATTATTGACAACCTAACTTACATAGATTGATCCTGGGGGAAGAGAGTGAATGCCAAATAACCCTTAAGTTAGTGACCACCATCCGCCCTTTGACACCGGCGTTTCCTTTAGTATCTTCAATAGGTTCTATTCTATCAAATATTTTCTCCCCTGAACGAAGTTTTAAGTATCTAAAAATTTATATTATTAAATTATTGTAAATATTTCTATTTCTTCGCCAGTAAAATACACTTATCATGTTCTGTGACGGCTCAAGCTCACGTGGTCAGCCTAAAACGTTAGGCTATAGTTTAACCCCTTTATTCATAAACATACTTTGATTATAAAATAGCTAAAAAACACACATGTAAAGAACAAAAGACTTTAAAGCTCTCGTAACATATGAAAGACAAAACAGACAATACAATTTTCTAACTTTTTTTAAGTTTATAATCCCAAAAGTATATCAAGTCTAGAGTAGTGCAGAAATTTATTAAATGTACTTTTATTCAAACTATACCCGATGTTTCTAAAGAACACATTCAGTCATTGACGTTTTGGAGTAAAAAACATTTCAACACGTCATTCACATATTACAATAATATCTTATATCTATGTCTAGAAAATAAACAAGTAAATTCTTACTCAAAAGGTAAATCGAAGAGTACCTCCCTATCCTCCCACACAATTCCCTTTCCTTTTTTATTCTTTGGCATTTTCACAAAATTGCGGCTAAAGGTTACGAAATAGGTTCAATATATTAGTTTATATGCGGGTTGCCATGGAGACGTTATTCACACGTGGAGTTTGTAGCTTTGTCGACGTAACAACTGAATTCCAATAAACGAAAACTGATGACTAGTCGTACTGACTTTGTATACGTTAATACGATACTGTCTTTTATCTAATATATAAAATTCTCGTGTCACAATGTTCGTTCCCATACTCCTCCGAAACGGCTCGACCGATTCTTATAATTTTTTTTATTGCATATTCAGTAAGTCTAAGAATCGGCTAAGTGATAAGGGGTGTCACTCCAATTTTTTTTTGATTTTATTTTGTTTTTATTTTTTTATGATACAGCATACAAAAATACATACAACCCCTAATTTTCACCCCTCTACGATCAACCCCTATTTTTATTATAGTAGATAGTTATTTTAATGGAACTAAAAAAAAATCCTAGAAATAATATACATGGCAAAACAAACGTTTGCCGGGTCAGCTAGTTCTAATTATATTATTGGAACTTTGTACCTACAGCAAACAAACAAGTAAAATCAGATGGGAAAATTGGTATTTCAATAGCAAACTTATTACAAGAACAAAGTTTGATCTTAATTTTACGATCAAATCTTTAGATTTAAAGATTTTCTTAATTCTCTTTCACTTAATTGAATGTATATTTGTAAATTAAACTAACACGAATATTTCACAAATATTGTATTTCTTAATATAATGGATTAATTAATATAAATTTGGAGATTGTAAATCGCTCTATCTAAATAAAATCTTTGGGTAATCCTGTTATGACCCTTGAGCACGTCAAAGATTGTAAAATCTGAGACCGTAGTTGAAAACAGCTTAAAGGGTAGCCTGATCAAAATATTATCAGATTTGTCAACTGAGTGTCCCAGAGACGTCTGTAAGGATTTAATTTTACCCGAATTGATGGTAATTGTTTTGACAACTGGTAACTTCTTTGTACAGATTAATTAATGAAAGTGGGGATTTGCCCTTTGACGTTTTATGAGCACTTTTGATCAAAGAAATTTGATTAGGTAGCTTCGGACATGGTTATTAATAGAGGACATTAATTATCAACGAAATTTTTAGTATGTATTGGCTCCTATACATTTACATTAAGACTAAAAATCTTTTATTTTTATTTTAAACACATCGTTTTGTCACCCTAACTAATTTTAAATATTCCAAAATTTGTCAACGGTGGGGGTTTGTTGTTAGTGGTTATTTCCTTCCTTGTAAACTAGTGGTTGCCTGGAACAGATCGCTCGAAAGCGATAAGGCCACCAGTTGCCATCCTTTTTATAAAATTGAGAAGTGTTAATAAATAAATAAATAAACTTTTTTACTGTTTGTGATCGACGATCCTTGTTAGGAAATCTGTAGTTTCCATTTCCTTTCGGTTCGTTTAAGTTAATAACCAGCAAAAGGATAATCCCATACAGGAAAAAATATAGTGACGCTACAACCAGATTCTTGGTTAGATTTCTGTATATGTTATTTTGTATGTTAAATATTTATGTTTGGATTGTCCGGAAGAAACTGCTTTTAGCAGTAATTACATCCTTTGTCTTCATTTTTATTTTCCTTCTGTTTTGTGTTATTGTGATGTAAATAATGTTTTATTATTATTATGTTACTTAAGTCTTTTGTGCTTTTCACGCTTTGAATATTTGGGTCTGGGGCATGCCGGTTTCAAAAGCGCAATTTGAGCGAGCGTCAAATGCGTACATAGAGAGAGAATGATTACAGGTTTGAACGAAAATTGAACTGAAGCCACTTTTTTTTTTTAATATATATATTATATATTTCTCCCCAGTTTGCGGGACTTCTTACTGTGCATACCCACTAAAACCCCACGGCGCCACCAGCGAGCAAGACAAGGCAACAGGGTAGCCTTATCCGCATCCACACTCAGCTGTAGCCACTAGGCCAACACACACGTGGTTAAAATTATATTACAACAGCTGTGCAGCTGGAGGGTTGGGTGTTAAATACCACCGCACTTTTTTGACGATACTAATTATCTAGGAGTTCCGGGGATTTCATTGAACACCTCAGTGAGTTTTGCTCCGGAAACGGTTAAATATTTTTATAAAAAATTTAAAGTTTTGTGTAATGTATTAAAATTTGTAAACAATCGCCATTTCTACTTTTCTATTGTATAATATGTATCACTTAAAAATCGTTTTTTAATTTAGTAATTTTGTTTCCATTTTTGAAATTTAAAGTTATAGAATAATCAACATTGAAATTAACCTATTTCGTTTGATTATGGTTCCGAAATTTTTTGAAATTATGTACCTACTCGTTGTATTTCTAATTAGTACTTTTTTTTTGCAACTTTCTATATTATTTAATTTTTACTAGAATAAATTTTACTTTAATATCCAAAAAGTACCCAAACGATGAGCACCCACTTCCACGTGGTCTTGTTGTTTACCCCTAGAGTGTATATAAATAATGGAGGGGAGAAGAACCCACCGTGTAACAAAGAAGACATTTGAAACTTGCGGCTGAGGCTGGTCGCGAAGGCGACAAGCCAGGTTGCGGAGCTTGAATAAAATTGGTTTGGTAGAGGGTGAGGGCTGCATTCCGTAGCGCCGGAGCTGTCCACAAAAACAAATATTATTTGATTGGTTAGGTTAGAGTTAGTATAGAAATTTGGTCGCGAAGGCGACCGGAGCCGGAAGCCGAGGCTGAATAAACAATTACTATTTGATGACTTCCACATATTTTGTTGTGATATAAGAATATTTGTGCGAGACAGGACGCCGAGAGCCGAGGCTTGAATAAACAATTACTATTTGATGGACTCCACAAAAAAATATTATTTATTGGTTAGTTAGAGTTAGTATATGAAATTTGTCGCGAAGGCGACGGACGCCGAGAAGCGAGGCTTGAATAAACAATTACTATTTGATGACTTCCACAAAAATATTATTTGATTTTAAGTTGGAAATTATTTCAATATTTTTAATATTAAAATCGAATAAAAAATCGATTTTCACTTTTTAAAAATCGAATTTTTAATCCCTATATTTTATAAACTTATGATTTTGAATGTGGTTTGACTAGCGGTAATTATTAAGTGAGTTTATTTATAAATTTTATAAAATTTTTGACGCTTTGGAGCAAACTCACTTGGAGGTTATGAAGGTCCTGAGACTCCTAAATAATTGTATCTCAGTGGAGGTATTGGTGGATAAGCATGAAGATTAAAGAATTTTATTTACTGGCAAAGTAATTATTCCTACCAAACTCTTAACCTCAAGTGTACATTTAAAATGTAGGAGTAATAGGTTGACTTTACGAGTACCGTTATGTTCCGTAATCATGATAAACCCGGACCGTAAAAACGTTTTTGCATAAACGTATATTAATATTACTACGGTATAACTTTTAATGCTACACTTGTGTGTACTTAGACATAGAAACGCTAAACTTGTGAAATCTTTTAAATATCTTTATAAGCATTGTTACAATACATATCTTGAAACACTTTATTATTGACTACTTTTAAAAGCCGTTTCTTTTTAACTTAATTTATAATATGTGAGTAGTTTATATTTTTTGATAATACTACAGTAAATAGGACTAATATTACATGGATAACTTAATTCAAAATTCTCCTAAGGTTGTTTAATGAAATTCGTCCTTGCGCAGTTCTTTAACTTTTTTAAGGTTGCAAATACTATGTGGAAGATAGTAAAATGTATCTCTTAATAACATAATTGGTTTGTTATTAATAAAAAAAACAATATATTAAAAAACTCAAGGTTAGAAAAGAAGTATTGGATAAGATTGAAAAAGAAATCACTTGTCTGCAGTTTGTTGCTCGAGCACTTCTTAAACTAGGGAAGGAAAAATCAAGTCAAAAATAGGCAGAGAGTATCACATCACAAATTTTAAGAACACTTAACGAAGGGAAGTCAATATTAGGAGAATAGATTATTTACCTGACTCAGGGACCTAAAAGGCAACCTCGCGAAGATTCCAGTTTTGCTTCTCAAATGCCATGGCACAGATTAGAGCGTGTTCGACCGGGAAATGAATTGGAGCGAAAGCTTCACATTTAGATGCAAGTAATCGAACAGTACTATGAGCTCATCAGAAACTAGTATTCAATAAATTTAAAAATTTGTCTGTTTTCATATAATAATAATATTTTTCCTGAAATAAAATAACGTGTTAAAACAATTTTTATAATTAATTCCAACTATTTAACTTGTATGATTCTATGATTCTATCTTTGCAGGTAAAGTTGTTTTGTATTTTTTTCTAATCCCTGGTTAAATTATTCACATTTCTAAATGCAGTTTGTTAATCTAATTTAAAGTATGCAAAATCAAATGACGTCACATCCGGTTTTCAGGATTCATTAGTACTTAATCTTATCTAAAAAGAAATAAAAGTATTGTTTTGAATGAAACTATGATGAAAATGTTTGTGAATTGTGGGTACTATGTGAGTAGTATAAAGAATTTGAACCGATACTTTTAAAGTTATAATTAGCATAGCATTTGAAATTTTCGTTCTTGAATAACAATCGAAATAATTAAAATTTCAAGACAATGCGCACAACACATAAGGCACGTCTGATTGCCTCTCGAATGTCTAACAACCATGCTAACTCTACTGCCTCTAATTAAAGGTTCAGCTTACACTGAAATGGATTTGAATACGCAAATTCGAGTATATTCCTTTATAGACAATTATCTCGTCTACTGTATTCGTAGAAAAAATCTACAGTGATCACAAACTCAAACAATGAATTTTCTTTCAGATTAGTCGATTACGTAATAAGTATATACGTTATTATTTTAACCTTTTACCTTTTAGCTGCCTGCATTTGGAGACATCTACCTATCTAACTAAAGTATGCACTAAGAAGCTATAAGCGTTCAACTTTGATTTTCTTGCCAAGTGGATAATGTATAGATAATGAATCCAAGTCAGTGATTAATTTAGA